AATCTATGAAATGAGCCGTCAAATTGAACTAAATTGTGTATACCCTGTGCTTTGTTGGGTTGCATGAGTGGGATAGGGCTGGCTACATTAAATATATATTTAGAAATTACAGGGTATATATAAGTTTATGTTTATAATACTTCTCGCAGGTATTTATATATTGCTCTCGCCTCTCCATTTAACGGTCAAACTCAGCTCTCTACAGGGTGTACCCTGGTATATTTCATATATAAGTCTAAGTTCTCCACTTCCTCCTTATCCTCCTCCTTATCCACTTACCTATATACTTTTGCACGACATAGCGACTCTTGGACGCTATCGATGGATTAACGACACCCAAGATCTTCTTAAGATTATCCATAAGGAGTATGCCACGCCCCCGACACTTGTTGGCCGGCTTCACGATCCACAAATTCTGATAGCCATCCAGGCTGTACTGGGGCCAGTGCACCTTCATCTTCTCAACCAGAGTCACACAGCTCTTGACCATGTGGTCGAGCGTGCGCTGTCCGTCGTGCTGGATGCGCCCATCCTCGTTGACCAGCTGCTGGTGCTGGTAGAGGAAGGCATCCCAATCGTGCTCCCATATCTTGGGCGGATCCTCATAGTCGATATCGTTGTGCTGGCAGCTATCGATATAGTCCACCAGCCGCTTGTAGGCGAAGTCTATGGATGAATAGGGTATCTTGCCGCTGGGCGAGAATACCGCATCCGAGCCCTGCTTGTGGTACTTGCAGAGCATGGCCCGCAAGTAGGCCACACAGGCTGTCAGCTTGAAGTTGTCCACGAACTCGCCCAGCTCCTCGGGACTCCAGACATTGTAGCAGCGCGGAAAATACATCTCGGCCATGCCCTCCTCGAAGAACCAGTGGAAGTCTCGCAGCTGGCTGCACAGACCCTCCTTCGAGGTGAACGGCGCCCGATGGAATTTATTGATGGTCATGCCCGGATTCTTGGCCTGATCAATATAATCGCATTTCTCCTTCCGGTTCGTCCACAGAAAATCCACGGGCATATGCTCCAGAAATCTCGACATTATATTCCGTTCACATTTCAGCACATATTGACGCCGCGTCTCGCCCGCCTTGCGCTTGGGCAGACGCTGCGTAAGATCCTCGTACGTCATCTGGCCCAGGGGCAGCACCTTGCGATGCACGTCCAACTTCTCGACCCATCCGCGGGCGAGCAGAGCATTGCGCACCGAGTGAAAGCAGCCGCGGATGGTGAAAATCTTGTTCTGTTTCGCCGCCTCTTGCGCTTTGCGTCGCAGCTCGTTCATCCGATCCGTTGTTATCCAGGTGCGACGTGCTATATAATTTGTGGGCGCACCTTGTACTTTGCAGTTCTCCTTGTTGTTGTTGTTGTTGTTGTCGGGCTTCTCAATTGCTCTGGGCGTGGGTGTGGGCGTGGGCGTTGCAGAAGCGGCGGGCGCTGCTGCTGGCGTCAGCTCTATGCTGGGCACTGTGACAGCTGTGGGCGTGGATGTGGATATGGCCATGGCCAGCCTATTGCACAACGTCGCACTGGAGCACTTATTATTATGCTGCTCCTGGCCGGCGACAGAGCCAGCCTCGACAACTCCAGCGGCGGCCTTAATGCCCGCTTTTGGTTCACTGCTCGGGCGCGTTTGCTTCTGCAGCAACTCGCGCATAGCCAACGACTGAGGAATTCCTCGAAAGAAATCAAAGTGAACGCAACGCGAATCGGTGACTGACTGACTAACTGACAGAAAACCGTTCGAGACTGGGCCACTGGGTAATTGCTGTCTCTTTCACACGCTCTCTCACTCTCTCGTTCTGTTTGTCTGTTAATTTTGGGCGGTCGGAGCGGGGCGGAGTTGGTGACTGCCTGGCAACCATGTTGAAGCCAATTGAGTTTCGGCTCCAACGACTCTATTAATAGACTGTGCAAGCGCGAGCCAAGGAGTTGCTGCCAGCTGCTCTCACAATACAAGGGAGAGGGTGTTGGGGGTGGGGAGAAGAGGAAGCAGGCAGTGTGTGTGGGAGAGGAAGCACAGTGAAGGAGTTCGAATCGCGTCTTAGCATAAAAGTGCTCAGCTGAGTTGGCATTGGATTAGGTCGACTGCAGCGAAAGGTTTGACTGAACCTAGGTCAATAAAATATGAATTGAGGAACATCTAGAAGAGAAATTAAAAATATATGTATGTACATACATAAATATATATATATTAGAAATTCAATCAAATAAATGAAGGAACTGAGTCTAACTTGAATAGAAAATTTTACAATTTTTGGAAGTAATTTAAAACCAAATTTTATACATTTTTGGCATAGCTTATTATTATTATTATTATTATTTTGTTTTTTTGTTTTTTTTTTTTTTGTTTTTTTTTTTTTTTTTTTTTGATAAAATACATTAATAAAGAGATTATCTTCTATATAAAAAATTAATTTATTGGATAATTTTATATATGACCTTTAAAAAAAGGGTATTAATAGTTGAGCTTCGGCAAAACTAAATTCGATCCAAGAAAATTGAAAGGGTGTCAAAAATTCAAATTCAGGCAAATATTAGACACGAAACGAAATAAAATCTAATCACGATAATTGATAAATTCAATCATTAAAACTATAACAATTGTAGATTAATAATTATTATCTATAATTGATTGAGAAGTTTTGGTAAATAATAAGATTCTCAACGACATAATACTCTATATTTTACTTGGGAATTTCTGAAACTGGGAAACTTAGGTAGGTTGAAGTTTGCAAATTAAATTATTTTTATAAAATTCTCTAAAGTTGGGAAGTTAGGTTAGCTGAAACTTGCCAATCAAATGAAAATTTTTTATGTTTCTTAGGCTAACATTATACATACATATATAACCCTTTCTTAAGGAATATTTAAATTAATTATACAGCTACAAAATTTCTTGCTGTTAACTAAAAAAATTCAAATCAATATATAGAGTCAAGATTCTTGACTAAGGATCTGTGTCTAAAACGGACAATAAGTTGCCGTTTTATGTAAAGATTCTTGTTCCAGCTTAAGCTTGGCAATCGTGTAAGAAAATTCAGATTTCGCTAAAGGAACTTTGATATGTCCAAAAATAGAAACCATATACAAAAGTTGGCTAAAGTAATCTCTTCTAGAGCCACAAGCAAAAAAAACAAAGCAAAACATGTTTTGCGCGGTACTTGATTGTTGTTGTTGTTGTTATTGTTGTTATTGTTGTTATTGTATCCTTGTTGTTTGGTATTGGTGTTGGGTGTTGGATTGTTGGGTTGTTGTCGTCACAGGGCTTTGGGCTTATGGCATTTGGCGTTGGTGACGACGTCAACGCCGTCGCTGTCGTCAGACGCGGCTCATATGAATGCTCGAGCGAGCGTGCGAATCGCGAACCGGAAATGGCAAGCTTCAGGCGAAAAGGGATATGTGGGGGTGTGCATGTGTGTTCATGTGTATGTGTGATTCTTGTCTATTTTTGCAATTTGTACAATGACAGCCTTTTCAATTATTTGCAAAATAATCAAGTTAACTGTTACCGCAAGTAAATGGGGTAATCGCTGGAGGGGCAACGGGCGGGTGCATTGGAGACAGGCTTTACGTCACTCGATTATGTTTGCATGTGGGTGGAGGTAGGTGTCTTACCTGTCCTTACCTGTATGACGTTGTCTTTTTAAATGTTCGTTGGGCCTTTGTGTATTTGGTTCAAGGACATCTTCAGCCACAAAACTTAATTTGCGGCCGGGTTGCGACTTGCTCTATGCTAAGGTGGCAACTTTGGCTGCTTCGGCACGGTGCACGTGGCAACACCTGCTGCCTACACACACACATACACACACACACTGACATACAGACGTCGCTGTGTGCCGCTTCTCATGTCCTTGCGTGTTGTTAAAGTTTTCCTTTCTCTTTTTTTTTTTTTTTGCAAATCTTTTGTTTATATTGTCTTGCGAGCATAGCCTCGGTATTTAGCTCTGTAGAGCGGGAGACAATGCTTGTTGTTCCTCTTGTTGCTGTTGTTGCTCTGTGTGGAAAGGTAATTAATTTCGCTTCAATCGTTGAGGTAATAAAATCAGTTTAAAAATAGTTTTGCGGCAGCTTTATCGCTGCTTGCTAAGCCAACTGTATAAAGCTAACTCCAGCTCCCTGTTAAGGCGGATTTGGTTTAAAAGTTTTGTATTGGTGTCATGGGCCTTTACAATTAATGACAGGCAGAATGAGGGGGAGAGAGGTGAGACAGGATAGAGACTATTTTTATTAAACAAGTTGAAAACTTTTAATTGAGCACATTCGTAATATATTTTTAATAGAATCTTATGTATGTCAAAATAATAAAGTGAATGTAGAATAAAGCAATATTTTTACATATATTTATTGCATATAAATTTACAAGTAAGTGATGATTTAAGGAAGTCATATTTTTATATCATTAAATACTTATAAAAATAAATATTTATTTAAATTATTGTTGTTTGTAATATAAAGCTCTTTAGGGTCATCATTCAGCCATTTAAAAGTTAGTTAAATTAGCTACATATTTTCATAATGTGGACTCGTAAAATTCTTTATGTAATATATTTAATTATCTATATTCATTGCCCAATTAATTTTCGTTAATAACGTACGTCATAATAAGTCCCATAAAATTAAAGTTATTCATTAAAGGCCCTCACTAAACTCAAATCCTGCCCTGTGCTAAAATGCAAAACTTACGCACAATGCATTGAACTCAAAGCGCAAGACAACTTTGCGTTAAAAAAAGCTCTCGAGCAACATCAGCAAAGCTTCTGCGCTTCAACATGGAAATTATCTGTTAAACAACATTACAAAGCGTATAAGAGAGAGAGAGAGATAGAGTGACAGGGGGCAGACAGCGAGCAAGGCCTGAGTGTTTGTTCTGCACTGGCCGAACGAAATATTTACGAATGCCGAATATCCATGCGCACGAGCGCCAAAGCGAACGACGGATTCCGAATCGAAGAGAGCCGAGCGCGACGTATGCAACAAATTTATACAAATTCGTTGTGCTTGCAAACTGCGAAAACATTCATAACGGTAAACTCCAGGCGTGTGGACGTGTGTGTTATTTTCGCTATTCTGCTCTTAGCGCTCTATCTCTGTCACGTCTTTTCGCTGCTTCTGTGTGTTTTGTGTATTATTTCAGTGAGTGCCGCGTCTCGTGTCCGCTCACAGCTCACTTCTTACTGCACTTAAACAAAATTAAAAAAAAATAAATAACAAAGTAAACAAAGTATCTTGATCTATTTGCCGCGCTTTTAAATTTTTAATTTGTACTGGAAACAAACGAAATTGTAAATTTTACAAATGCAATAAAAAAAAATTTAAAAAATAAATAAATAAATAAAAAATACAAAAATTTAAATTTACACCTTTTGCAATGTGACTATAATTTGTGTGTGGAACACGCCCATCCGCCCTAGTCGACCGACCAATTGTACTTTGCTGTGTTGTCATTCAAAAATATTAAAAACATACAATAAACAATAGAAAATATCAAAAACTCTTCAATAAGTTTATCAATTAATCGCTGATCGTAGGAGTGTCAGCTTGCCTTAAAAAAGCCACAAACTGAGAATAATTGAAATATCTATCCAAAGTGGGTTTACAAATCGAGTTCGGATTTGCGCAAGCGAAGAACAGCTGCCGGAAAGGTCAAGAAATGGGAACTATTGGTAAGTGAAGACCGATCGACATTTATATAGTTATCTATAGATTTATATATTTCATATTTATAAAAAATTTTTTTTAAAAAATATAATATTATTATTTATAAAAAAAAAATTTTAATATATTATTATTAAATAAAAATTGCATTTATTGAGAATCATCTACAATAGCTTTTGGAAACAATTAAGCTTTAATTTTGTTTGTAGCCAATTGGGATTCAATAATACATAAATATATTAATAAATATTGTAGTTTATTGTACTTTCAAATTTACATTTTATTATTTTGTTTACTATTATTATTTGTTATTATCAGTTTCTTTTGAGCAATTTTTTTTGTAAATTTAAGTTTAAATTTGAAATTGAAGTTTGGAGCATAATTTTTTAATTTCAAAATTTATAGACACGCGACGGAAAATGGCAGACTTGTTTTTTTTTTTTTTTTTTTAAATTTTTTGAATTTACAAAAGTTTAAATAAAATATGTAATATTGATCAAACAATATTCTATGAAGAATGTAGTCTCTTCTATACAAAAATTAAATAAAAAAATGAAATGAAATACATTTTCCTTATTGTTGGTAAAAAAAACAAATTTTTAAATTATAATTTTAAAATGATTTTAAGTTTTTCTAAGAAAAGATAGATAATAATTAAATACGTTTTGCTAAAGTTTTAAATATGAAATAATTTGTAAAGATGAATAAATTAATCATTTTAGCAATTTTCGAATTAATTCGTAATTAATTTAATGTTTTTATTTCAAAAGCGAAAATATTTTTTAATGAATATTTATTGTGTTGCGTATATTTATGTCTGCATACATAAATATATATGTACATATATATACATTTATCTTTTGTAAACGAATCCACAATACAAATCTGCTTAGGGTATTGCATTCAATTAAAATTCCACTGGCCATCCGCGTCTCTTAATCCCCCTTTCGATATGATCCTTTTGCTACCTTTTTTTGTCCTTTCTGATTTCTGATGAGCTGAAATTCAATCTGTGCTATTCAATCCCGCCATAAAGCCGAATAATGTTTTATAAATAGATCCAATTGAAGTAGAAAAACTGGAAGCAGAGATTCCTTTTTTTTCTGTGTTTGCCTTTGCTTTCAATTAATATGATATGAGGGCGTTGGCCAACAATGGGTGTTGCCATATCCTGTTGTGTGTTGCTCAGTTGTGCTTGCTTTTCAATTATCCTAGCTGTGAGCGCGCTAAAAATAAACTCAGCACGCACAACAACAACAACAGCAACAACAAGAACAGCAACAAGAGCAACAATTTTGCGCTTTTCCACATTGCCAGAGTGAAGAAAATGTCAAACGATGTCATTATGATAAACATGGTCTAGAGCCTCGGAGCACGTTAATACTGCTTATCCAAATATATAAAAGATAAATAAAACCAGTGAATAAGTGAAAAAAAAGAACCGAAATATATATATAATATATATAGTCAGTGCCCTAAGTTCTAATCGAATGACGCACGCGACGCCACTGATTTCTATGCTATAGTTAAAAATATATCCTATAGAGACGCTATGCATACACTTAACATATCTGTGTGTGTGTGCCTCCGTGTGTGTGTGTGGGTGGGCTTGATTGTGTCTGTCTTGTCCAACGTGTTATCCTTGAACGGCAGCAGTGTCCTTTCGACCACCTCAAAGGGCCATGTTTCAGATACAAATGCGCTCTGATTGCGGCGTGGGCGGCGGCAGGGGCGTGGTTGGCAGCCACTTGCCGCAATGAGTTCGTTGTGCCATTGCTCGACAGGCGGGAGGAGTGGCTGTGTGTGTGTCTGTGTGTGTGTAGGCGGCAGCTACAAGTGCTCAATTTTTTTTTTCCTTTTTCATCTGAATGATGCTACTTTGTATGCCATTTGTTGTGCGTGTCTTTGCAACTGTCTGTGTGTGTGCGTGTGTATACACTTGCTCCTATTAGACACGCTTGATATGCTGCTCGATGCTGCTGTTGCTGTTGCTGCGGCTGTTGTGGATGCTGGTTTGCCTGCTCAGCAGCCTCGGCTCACACAACAGAATTTCTTGTTGCCGTCAGCTAAAAGTTCAGAGTTGAATGTGACCATCGATTCTGCACCAAAAAGGACATTGTTTTAAACAAACACGGTGCAGCAGCATTTAAACAACTGCATCAAATGTCAAAGCGTAGAATGGAAAATATCACGGGGGTACGCTTTTCTTACTTTTCATTAAATTGTACATCAAGTTTTCAGAAATTAATATATGATATATATATTTTTAAATTTTATTATTATATTTTAATAATTTCTTTTTACGACTTTGTTATGATATCATTTTGGTTTTATTTCGATAGGGAACTTGAAATCCTCTTAAAGACTGACATTGACATTGATTACAAATTTTATTATAATTATTTGTATTTCTTTTTTCCAATTTTAGAAAAATTAAAAATAGTTTTGCAATATTTATATTTTAAAAATATTATTATAATTCATTAATTTTTCAACTTGTTATTATTGTTTAAATAAATGATATACACAGCAATAGAACATTATTCGATAGAGTAGAAAATGCAACTCATGAATGTTAAGTCCTTGATGCTTTCCTGAAAAGCGTGCAGTCAGTCGTTACTGCCCATCGACGCTTTTCATATTTCACTTTTGCGATAAATTTACATATTTCAATATAATTATCCGGCAATTTATATTCGTTGTAAACCAATTTGTATTAATTTAGCAGGTGAAGCGTAAATTATCAGATGACCTTCAACAATTCTCTAAAACACCCACATTTCGTCGTAATTATCCGTTGCTGCCAGAATCTACATATTTCCACTTGACATTTACCCGAAAAGTTCACAGGGAAATCGCTGTCAGCGACAGCAAATGAAATAATAAACCAAAAACAAAATAAAAGTGAATGGAAATTGCTCTGTAATGAGAGACGAACAATATTGATAGACTGACGAAAGATGAATTCAGATGGGGTAGGGGAAGGGAGAGTTCGGTCGCTGCTCGTATACTAAGTACAGTTAAAATACATGGACAATTATTGTGGAACATTGAGAGCTTTTAATAATATTTAATGTGAGGCCAGACAATGGACATTATACAGTTAATGGCCAAGTTAATGACTGCGTTAAGCTGTAATATTTCTAAGGACAATGGCAAGGGCGCTGCTGTCTGAAAATATAAATAAGTACATTTATTATTATTAGACTTCGGAACCTTAATCAATAATGGCAGTCGTCGACTCACTTATATTCGGCTAACGTATGTCAAATCCTCAATTTTCTTATGGCTGCACTTGAGCTTCTTGATGGGACAGGTGGGCACGGGCTGGAGGCATTTGCAGTAGACAAATGTGCTCATGACGAGCTCAGCGAATTCCTCATTCGAGCTGCCCTCCTTGAGCAGCTCGCGATAGTCCTCGACACTCTCCAGGCTCATGGGATCCAATTGATGCAAATAGCATTTCATTTTCAGCACGGCCGAGTAGAAATAATTGAATATATCGATCATCATGAGCTTGTGCGATTTGATGCTGCGGTGATATTTATCGCCCAGTATGAACGGCGTCTCTAGACTCCGATCCAGTTGATCGTAGGCTTTATAAAACTTTTTGCACTCCAGATGAATGTTCAAAATGCCATGCTTCATGCTGTTGCTATTGTGGGATGTTTATATATATATGATATATCGTGTATATATGTGTGTATATGTAATGGTTAACATCTTACTTTGATGATCGCATCACCTCGAACTTTTCCTCATACTCATTGATTATCGACTCCTCGGCAGAGAGCGTGTACACCTCGGGATAACGGCAGCCGGGCGCTGAGCTAATCAATATCAAATATCGTTGAGTCAGTAGCCAGAGTCTTTCGGTTATAATCTTTTGTGTTTCCAATTCGCATTGATAGAACTGATAGAAATCACAATAACGTTTTTCCATATCCATCAACAGACCCAAAATTTCCACCTCCTTCTCATAGTGCTCCTTCAGCTGGGGCGTCAAGTGGGCTTCATCGTCTTTAGACATTGTTCAAATTTTTGGCTCTTGTGTTTGGTGAAAGTTTTAGACAAAATTTATCATGTCAAAGGACAGAATAGACAAGGCATATTATATAATATACATTTCAAATTATGCACGAGTAATATGATTTGATTTTAGCTTAACTTCAATTAAAGACAAATGTGAATTTTTCGAAATCAATTAGCATCAAAGCAATTTCATGGCGTATTTGATGGCTAAATTAATTTGTGGCTTGTCAATGAATTTTTGCTGATGAGAGAAGAGTTGAATATATTTGACACTTTATGCTATTTGGTATATAAATGCATATAAATATATATATTTTCATGCAGGGAATTTTGTTAAATAAAATACTCTATTCAATATACATCAATCGTTTTGTTGTGTAGTTTAATTTATTTTATTTAATATATCACGTATACGCTCTGTTGTACAGCAAACGGCAGCTTGCAATGGGTAATGCTTCTTTTAAGCACACTCTCATGTCTAGAGTATGCTTGAAATCAAAATTGGCAATTTAATATAGACAATATGTTTTTTTTTTTTTCAATACAATTCCCATATTACGTATACGTCATACTTAACCACAGCTAGTAGTTTGAATGTAGCAAAAGATAATGCTATATTTTTATCAATCTCAGATTCCAGGGTATCTGAAATATCTGAAAGTCGATACAAAACACATAAATTGAGGTTTGTCTACTGTACTGAATATGATTTCTGTATGGTTTTCCTATTGCGAACAGTTTGCTTTGGTAGCAAGCTGAGTTATCCTGGCTTATTCCAGAATATGCAGGTATACAGAATACCTACTTATAAAACTTAATTTAGTACACAACAATATTGTGCTCGTACTCAACGGCATTTAATGCATTACGTATACGTCATGTTGGCCAATAGCCATTAGCTATCATGTGATTATGCCCATTGGTTAACATAGATGTACAGGGTATATGTCTAAATGTCAATTCAATTCACATAAAT